AAGTTGCCCCCGATGGTTAGAGCCATCGGTTGAGTTGGCGCCGCAGATGGCTGCCATCGGTTCTGTACCGGAAACAAATTCCTTGTGTGTAACATACTTGGCCAAACAAAGATTATCCTTGTCCTTATATTACATTAATGACTGCATCTTTCTGTGTTTGCATATTTAGACCTGTGGAGGTGCCAGTTTCTGCTGCCGCTGGTGTCCCTGGGTCTGGTGGTGTTTGCAGGCCTAACTGCATTCTGTGCCTGCCTTTGCCGAAGCCTCACCCCCACCCTTGGAATAGGAGTACTTCATCTGCTGGCTGGTAAAACTTGTTCAACTGTTTACTTTCACAATATGCATCATCAGAATGGTTAACTAAGCAGTTAACATTTTCAGCTCCTGGGGTAGTTGCCGAGTCTGGCCCAAAGTGGCAGACCAACTTTGAGCTACACTGCTGGCATGGCTAAGAAATAACTGGGCTGCCTATTGTCAGATTCCACAATTCCAAAATCAAGTGGTCTGCAGAGAACAGGGTAGAAGCCGACCTTATTCACTCTGTCATGCCATGTGTGAAGTCTGCAGGCATTAACATGGATACACCTTAACTTTAATCCTACTGTTCAGTGTTCACAAGTGGCACATCACATTCTTTGTTTATTTGACATACATCTTTGATAAGTAAACTATTAAAGTACAATTCCCCTCAGCTTTACAGAGCGTTTTAGCATCTTTCAGTTCCATGTTTCAACACTGTGGTTCTGATCCATTCTCACCTCTTCTATCAACCTGGTTTTTGCATTAATCTTATTGTGTCTTGTTGTGTTTACAGCTTGTTGTCTGCCCAAAAGTGGGCAAAAAAGTCACTTAAGGCAGGTTTTAAGACCTTTAGCAATGAATGACCAAACCATTTAGTAATAATTTAATAATTTCAAAGTTAATAATTGTCAAGTCTTGCTTGAGCCTCATGTTATCACGCAGTGTCCCGCTGTTCAACTGGGACTACATTATGCGTATAGTGGGATAATTACAGGCCTTTCTTTCACAGAAGAAATGTTGACATGTCACAGTAGGACAAGCAAAGGTGGTCATCAGAAAATGAATGTGGTTCAATTTAATAAAGCTGCCTCAGTTTCAGAGTCCTGGTATTATGCATGGTGACTCACTGCCACGCTGAATACAGCAGCTCCATTCTAAATGTTATTAGTAACATGTGCTTTTCCTACTATGAAAGCACAAGTCAAAATGTGAGCTGTGGAAAAGGCCTGTTTGCAGTAGCACTGCAAAAACACAATTCAGGGTTAGACTTTGACTAAATGTCTGTCTAAACCCGGTTAGCTAGGAAAAGCTATCACAGCTGAGTAAGTATTTCCTTATGCCTGCTCATTCTGTGCCCTGCAGGTCTCTGCACCTTAGCTACAGTGTGCTGCTACCTAGCAGGGATGGACCTGCTCCACAGGGTGTCTATGCTTCCAGATAAGGTGGATGGCTCTCTGGGCTGGTCCCTCTACTTGGCTCTCATTTCCTCGCCACTGCACATGATGGCTGCTGCACTGCTGGTGTGGGCAGCACGCAGCCACAGTCAGCACTACTACCGTATGACCGCCTACCGGGTGGCATAGACTCTGCCCTGTTTGAAATAATGCGCTACTCTGACACCAAGATGCATTTTATAATGATCTCTGTGGAACAGGATGTGGGTTACTCTGTGTATTTTGTCCTGTAAAGGATTAAAATATGTATAGTGCAGCATATGCTTGGATCACTTCTCACCAGGTTGAAAAGCATTAGCTGTGACCCCGTTTCATACTACACATTCATTCAGTCCAGGTCCTGAATACATAGTGCATTTACCTTGGACAATTGTACTTTATTTTTATACCATGGAAAACATTTCTGTAGCTAATGATTAGACTCACCAAGTTAAATTAGACATTACAGTAAGTAATGAAGCAACATCACTTAGACAGGGCAAGAAAGATGTGTATTCAATGTGATCAGGCACGTTTTAAATTAATCACTGGTTTAGACAAACTTATTTGGGTGAGAACATGAAGGCAGACAATTAAATTATGTTCAAGTTTGACCTCTTGCGCTTAACTGCAGAGAGGGACACTTTTTGTATGTGCTCTCTATCAGTTTTACCTCAAAGAGCTCGTTTCTCACCCTCAGATTTGATCATATGGATGTTGCTTTGTACTTATTGTTCCTTGTGATCACAGTAGAAGTAGTATGACTGTGCACACATCGCATACACATCGCATTTTTAGTATTTAGAGTTTTAGTATCCAATAGAAATGATGTCCAAAACAACCTCACCTTGATCCACTTTGTAATAAACAGGAATTATCATTTTAAATGTTAGCGTGCCTACAAAATTGGCCAAATGTCAGAGTATTGCAAACAGAGAAATTCAAGCAAAATTTAATCATTGCGGACATTTATGGATTTTGCTTGGAAAAACAAAAATATAACATTTTTGGAAAAACAACCTCCTATCAGGTGTACTCAGAAGTCACAGATTGGTCGGTGTTCATTGCAGCTTGTGTGATTTCCGGCTGCTAATCAAAGCAGTTTACTGTTGTATTTACAGAAGTACAGTAATAAGTGTGTGGTGTGGAATTGGGTTACAGCAAGTAACAACAAGTCATACCCAGAATAATAGTTAGGTGTGGTGACCTTTCCCTTGTGTTGCACTAACAAAAACACTTGACACTAATATGCCAGAGGAATGGACACACCTTTAGCGTGTCTGCAACAAAACAAAACAATGAGGTTTGGTCAGGGGTTTCATGTAGTACAATAGGAAAGTGTGGGAATCATTAAGTATAATGACTGTTACTGTATTTGTTTCTATTTTTATAAAAGGTTGACCTTTGCTATCCACCTTTTTAAAGTGATGTTTACAGTAATTCAAAATGTTTGTGTAATGCTTTCTTTGCAATTTTCAAGTATATTTTGACTCATTTTTGCATGTTTTTGTAGAAAAGTCATCAAAGAGCCAACATAGTGTTTTTTACCGTTTTGTTGACCTCGTGTTCATATAAATTACTTTCCACATTCTATTTGTGAATTTGTTTGTTACTCATACTTGTTCCTCAGTTGTTGTTTTTTGTATTAGGTCCTTTTTGTTATCACCATTATGAAAAGAAATTAATGAGCTAAATCAACAGGGTTTAAGGGAAATATTTTTTCCCTGTTAGGCATTATGAATGTACCTTAAAGGCCATACTATTCCTTTGCACTTAAATTATTTTTGAACATCCTGAGTGCTGCTATAGTGGTAGTGAATTTCTATTTTCTGACACTGTAAATGTCTCAATCAAAATCAGTTAGAAAAAATAATTATTACCATTTAAATCATTCTATATGCCTTCATAAAGATATAGAGTAACACACCACTGTGAAGGCTCCATGAAATTTATGAATGTCTGCTCAATGATGCACTGTGTGTGTGGTCTGATAATATTCCACCATTAAGTGTCCCTGAATCTGCTGTAGTGTAAATAGAACAGCTTGTGAATCTACAGTGAATTGGTTGTTCATTCTCCAGCTGTGCACTGAAATGCTTAATAACTGCACACTTAAATATTGTGTGTGAGTATGTAGTGTACACATGCATATTCCAAGCAACTGCTGAAATTTCAATAAACTGTTTTTAGCCTGATCATGGCAAGTCCATCCTTACTCCTCTTCTTCAGATGCAAATCTCTGGTTGTTAGCTTGTTGCTCCTGCTCTGTCTGCACCCGGATTGCAGGAACCATCACCTGTCTCTTTCTGGCTAGGGACAGAGCGATGCCCTTCTCATAATAGGCACATTCATTGATAAAGAAGGGATAAAGGGGCTCATCACCTTTATACCTCAGTGTTTCACCTGAGAAAGTCTGGAACAGCGGGCCTCCAGGACGGAGCAGACAGAAGTCTTGGTCCTGTGAAAAGGAGACAATCAGGTTGGCTGATAAAGACCAACACATGAGAGATTTAAAAGCTGTAAGCCAGTCTCCATAATTATAGGTGAGGTTTTAAAGCTGTTAATAGGTGAAAGGAGCCTGCTCACAGTAGTTAGAAGCAGAATTCCACAAAAACTTAAATTAAGAGAATTAAAAAAATAAAGTTTATTCTTTTTCCTGCCAAGAATTAGATGTGAAGGACACTACCCTACTACTCTCATGTCTGTACATAATGTAGCAACAATGGAGCCAAAAAAAAAAAACATTAGCATAGCAGAGCACTTGGAAAAAGCAGGTGTGTCTATACTAACACCCATTGTCTCTTTAGAATATGACGACAGGCTGTCAGTTTACTGGAAATTAAATGCTGCAGCTATTCTTATCATTGCACTGTTTGCAAGCCAAGAAGTAGTTGGCATGCAAATTCCTGTAAAACCCTAAAGCCATTTTCACATTTTATTATTTGTGTGACATAAACAAACAAAATATAATATGCAAATTAATGACCTTTAGAGGTGTTTGTTGGTCTATTTCTGAACTCTGAACAGAGCCAGGTGAGCTGCTAACTCTGTATCCTGTCTTTTTACTAAGCTAACTCTCCCCCAGCCTTAGTTAGGCTAATTGTACATTTTGTGCAGTTTGAATTCTTGGAATCTGTGAGAGGATCTGGAAATTTTTGGTCCACCATCATTTGGTCTTTTGAACTTTGAACAACAGAAAAAAGGGGAACTCAACTCCCTAAAAAGAACTATACAAATTAATTTAAAAGGATTATAGGACTATCGTATTACTCACAACGGAAACTGCCAGCTATTAATAACCATAGGTGTGTAATGGTATGCAAAACATGTTATTGAGCGTCATGATTACTTTTTACTATGAAGTGACACTGGGATAGGCCCTTGCTCTTTCATGAACAACAGGTGACTTTCACCTGCTTCATAAGGTTCATGCCGTCACTGTACTTTATAACAAAAGTCGATTAATTTTCTTAGGACAAAAGCTTTGTAACTTTTGTGTTCACATCTATATGTAAACAAGTTCCTTCTGTACTTTATTGTTAGGTACTTTAAATTGTTTTTGTTAGTTGTTGTAGTTTATCCCCTCCATTGTTCATTCAATTGGGTTCATTTAATTCTTAAAAATGGAAATTTGTAGAAGGCACAAACACATTTAAGAACACACCTGGAGCTGAGGATGAATGGCTGCTGTGATGGTGCGAGTCTCACTGTCTCTTGGGTAGTCGATGTGTTTAACCATGGTGAACACATCCACAAATCCTTCTTCAAAAGTACTACCTGAAAATGACAAAAGAAACAAACAAAATTAGGAAAAAAACAAGAGCTTAAATTTGCTCATGGCTTGCAAGACAAAAATACAAAGCAATAATAATAAATTGATAACTTGTGTTTATTGTACCTGAGTTGAAGGACTGGACCCAGTCGAGCATGTGCTGCACACCAGCTTTCATAGCCATATAGATGTTTGACCTCACCACACCGTGGGGCTGAGGGCCAATCTCCATGGCTACAGAAAATGATTTTTTAATGAGAAATATCACCGATTATCCATCATTCAATTGCTATTGATAAACTGGTATCATAGAAACAATGAACAACTTACCAAAGCCATGTTTTCCAACTGAATCAAGAGAGTATGATTCTTTATTAGAGACATCGAAATGGATGTACCTCAGTGGAATATCTGGCATCTGTTTCTAAAAAAAGACATGTCAGACTTTGCTTTAGAGTTCAAGCACAATTAATTCTTTCTTCCACTTATGTGTGCACAACATACAGGATGAATTGATTTTCCATGTGTGTAGGAGTGCTTCTGGCTTGCCTGAAGGTGTCTGAATATGTGCAGGCAGATCCAATCACAGTCAGAGTACGTGATGAGGCATAGGCCCATGTTGGCAGTGGTGTTGTGGAGGTCACAAACAAGATCCACCGCCCCATGACTGCCTTTGGGACCCAGCATTGTGTTCAGTTGTCTGGCCCTGATTATCTCATAGGGGGTCATGCCTGACATGGGACCACTGGGAGACAGGAGTGCAAAATGACAATTCATCATCAGAGCTGTTATCATAAACATCATCTACAACTCTCACTGCGGCCTAACCTGAGCGACGCATGGGTGAAGCACCGGTTCAGGTCGGTGTCAATGTATCTGAAGCACTGCTGTAATGGGTGTGACAGCACCATCAGCAAGGGCACAGCCTCTTCCTCCTCATCCTCCTGCTTTGTCACGTTCTTCTTCGCCTTCAGCAGCTCCCTCACCAAGTACACCCCAGACAGCTCATTGCCATGGGTACCGCCGCACACAGCAACCTGGGACAACCTTGGTAAACACAACACCTTGTCCTCCTCCATCTGAGAGTAGGCAGCGACACACTGGGGAAAAGTGAAAGAAGGTGAAGGGCTTTGAAAGGGGTCTCTGTAGTTTGTTAGTCCTCCGTCACTATGTAGCAGAAGCACCGACTGGGTTGGATTTTCTCCATTAATACATAATTTAGTATGCATCAGTGTCAAATAATGTAAAACTACATATTTGATTCTCTCTCGTTTCACTCAGTGGGAGGTATCAGTTACTCCAGTGCTGATGCCACTGAGTACATTGTGGACAAAGCAGAGATTGATATTGATTTGTGAAGCCTTACCTCACTTTTCTGGCTTGCTGAAAGCTGCAATTGGACAGTTCCGGCTTTAAACCCTAGAAATGTACTGTGCTCTAAAGCAGCACTGAGAATAATGTCTCTTTAAAGTCTCATAACATAGGAGGAAAGCTTAAGGAAAAACAGGGCGAAATGTCAACTCCTCATTCACAGTGAATGACAAAGCATCCTACTGCACATCTTACCCGGCCTGTTACCTTCCTCTTCCCTCTCTCCCTGCTGTTTGCCCTCTTCTACCCTCTCCCAAGCTTTCATGCAGTTTCACTGATTCACCATTCCCATCCCTGTTTTGCAAGCTTTTTCCGTCCCTCCACCACCTCTTGTCCACTGCACTGAATTTGCACTGTACTACACTGTATCGTAAGCAGGGTGTGTCCTGTGAGTGATGTGGTGCATCAGTTGCTTCCTGTGAGGGTCAGTCAAACCATAAGTCCCTCCCCAGCTGTCTGTTTCTCTCAGCAGCATGTATAGGATGGTAGGTTCCAGTCTGCCTTTCAGAATATTGGCTAACAATAAATCTGCTGGCATGACACAGCAGGAGAGGAGCCTGTGGTGAAATACAGTGGGAGAAACAACTCTTCTGGCAGGGAAAATGGCACGTGCACCAGCTGTTGAGTTAAAGAGAACGTAGGCTGAAGTTTAAGATGGTTAAATGCAGTGAAAACAGCCCATTATTATATTGAAACAATATTATTTTCATGAACACATACCACCTTCTTTAACATGCATTTTTAATAAATATGCCTTAAGTTATTTATTTATTTTAAGGAATTGTGACTAAGATATGTACTTAATGAAACATTTTACACTTGAACAAGAGTTTACAGCCATGCTCACAGCCCTGTGGATCGGTACTAACACAAAGCAGAGCTTTGAGCTAAATGATGATAATGTTTAGCAAGTATTTACCCATGTTCTCTACCTTGGTTTAGCCTGTTAGCATGCTTTCATTTGTAAATTAATTTTCTACAAAATACACTTGACATTAATGTGAATATTGTTAGCTTAAGGCAGCTTAAATACTTTAGTCATAAAATTTGTCCTCATGTCTAAAGTGAGGATGTCATCAGTTATTACAGTTAATCGTAAGGGCAACATGAATTTCTTTGGAAAAAAGAAGTAGACTGATTCACATTTCAACCCAGAGCCATAGCGGCTACTAAAAATAAACTTGTAACTCAAACCATGCAACAGTAACACTGTTCTAACGCTACCTCATATCTCGAATAACATTTGTCATGTCTGTGTTGCGGCTTTGTATTATCTGATAATTAGCACATAAGGAAATATAATACAATGTATCTGCAGCAGGCTTATGTAAAACAACATACTGGCCCAGGTTCAGGTTATTGGATCACATTACTGTCTACTTCATGCAGCTGTCCCAGCATCTTTTTTGTTTATAATATGCCCGACTAAACAAATGCTTTGAAACATACTCCCTGCTCCACCTAAGAGTGCCTAAAGTAGTTTTTATAATTGTTGTCACAGTTCAACTTCAAGAGCACCTTCAGGCCTCGTGGGTTTGCTGGAAGTGTGGGATTGTGAGCACGAGGCCTTTTTGCTCCCTAAAGCACTTTTTTGTTGAAAAATGCCCTTTAGACAAAGCAGTTGTACTACTTGTGTAACAATTTCATGGTAAATTTAGCAATTTTACAATTACAAGCTCTGGCACCTTTATGCCTGCAAACATACAGTACCTCCCATTAAACATAATCCTAAAGAAGTGATTTGGCAAACCTTTAAGTATGTCACCTGATTATTAAGAACTAGTGGAAATGTTGGAACAAATAACATTTAAAGAACAGTATGAAAAGTTTTTCTTTTCTTTTCTTTTAAATTACAGCATTTGTTTATTCTAGATTCTTTTTCTTTGTTAATACAAAATACTGACCCACGTTATGTGCTCCCTGTCAGTACAGAACAAACTCCCTTTTTTCTGCAAATGAAGACAGTCCTCTTACAATTATATGAGGAACCCAAAGTACAAGGAAAAATACTACCTTACAATTGTCAATACTATAATATGAATGTCTGTACATTTATAAAATCAGTTATTTGCAATGCTTTTAATTTTTTATTTTTAATTTTAAGTACACTTACAAAAATCATGAAACGCACACACATGGTTTTGGTGTCATGTGCTTGCATATATACGAGCTCTTCAGCAGACACACTGGGCTGTGACGTTTACTTTCCTTACTGCATTTACGTTTCACTTTGTGCTCATTCGTCACACTTTTTTAAAATCTATTTCTACGGCCACGTGAAACTTTGTTCCCATTCACCTTGTTTTGACTAGATATTACCATACTGTATAAAATGGTCATTTCATTAACTGATATTGAATAAAACGACACAAATGTGAAGTTTTCCCAGTACAGGAACAGGTTGTTTTTTTTTGCCACTGTGCTGCTTTGTAGTCTTTCCCCAACTATTTCTACAAGAAACCAGAGTCAAAACAATTTAGGTGTGATGCAAATACAGGTGAGAGCAGGCTGCTCATTTCTAAGGCAAAGAGAGAGTAAACAGGCCTTGTTGCATGTACTGTAACTTTCACCATCAAAATTTCCATTAGGCCTTGGTAAATAAGAAAACTATAATAATTATAAAGCATGACAGTGTGGAGGTTCAAACAGTATTCTGGACAATCATTTTTTTAAACACACAATACTGCACAGCAGCAGTGCTGTAAAGTGATGGAAGAGCAGATATGCAGTCATACAAGCACACTAGAACTGTCCTTCATTACACTAAAACACTAAATCAGAAACACCAGATGTCTTAAAGGCCACCAGTCAACATTTTAATTGAAGTATTTTAATTATATGTTTTTATTAACCAGGTCTTGCCCCCTTTTTTAGAGTTATTATGCTGTGGACGGCAACAGGAACACAGTACCCTCCTGCCTGTGATCTGAGAGACTTAACAGACTTCAGCAGAGAAAGTAAAGAAAAACAATCTACTATAGATTTGGAAGCACTGCCCACTTCATTATCTCCCCCCATATACTCTGCCTGCTCTGAGTCAAAGCAGCACTGTCCTCTTAGATGTGACAGCAGCAAAGGGTAGACGCTAAAACTCAAGGAAACAGGAACCAAAAAAGGGGGCAGGAGAGGTCGGAGGAAAAACCCCACTCTCCCTAAGGATCAGACAGTAGAGACCGTCCTGGAGATCTCTTAGAACAGAGAGCTACTGGATGGAAGCAGCCATCCATGCAGGGGACAAGCAGGCCTTTGTGGTAGCTGTCCGCCAGGCAGCTTCAATGGGTGAGTCTCTTCAGGGCAACGCTGAGCTCAAAATATGTCTGGGCAGCCCTCCCAGCCGCCACGATCCCTCCCTTATAGATATGAACCTGCTCACCAGTGGTCCGGTCCTCACAACGCTCAAACCAACATGCCTGGTGGCTGTCATGAGGTGTGCCTGAAAGAAAGAAAAATTATGCTGAAAGGAAACAATCTGCATAGATGATTAGAATAGAAATTAAAGCATGATGAAATGGCAGTGGCGAGACCAAGAGGAATACTTGCTTTTTAAGGAGGGATCAATAAATTGGTCCTCATCGACAGCTTTTGGAAGAGAAAAGGGGATCACAGAGATTTTTTTTTACCCCTTATTTCAAAGATTTTCCCTATGCAAAGGAGAGAGGAATACAGAAAATCCAAGTGCAACACAAGATTGACCCTTACTTTCTTCTGATTGGCTGGATGTGCGTTGGCTGGCAGTCGCCTTGTCTCTGTCCCTCTCTTTCTCCCTCCGGGCGCTGCGCTGCTTCTCCTCCAGCCGCTGCTTCTCCACATTGGCCTCATCCCAACGACCCTCCTCCATCAGTCGCTGGTCAGGCCGGTGCCGGCTGTCGGTGGGCGCCACGCCCTCCTCAGGCTCGTTTAGGGTCAGTGCCAAAGCAGTGAAATAGTACATGGTCTCTGCTCCCTCACTGCGAACAAACAAAAGCAAGAATTTAAACATGCATTTAAAACAAGATTTTCCATATAAATCAAGTTAAAATGAGACAGGACGTGGTATTTGTCAGTTATACTACCCCTCTCCATAACACACTGCTGCCTACAGTGATTTTGTTGTTATTCCAGCTTCTCCACCTTGTGTTGTCAAAATATGGTCTGTAAATTAAGGGTTAAAAGAAATATTTTTCAATCTGCAACTAGTCCTTTTAAAAACCCAGTTATGGAGGAGCTCTCAGCAGCTACAAGTCAGAATCAGTGGCTGTCAGATGTCAAAAAAGCTCTTTGAGCCTGCTGATGAGCTCAGCAAATGTTTGCACCTAATAAACTCAGAAAACCTTCTTGGTAGCTCGCCAGGAACTACAGCGACAACTGTGTGCAGTACAGACAGCAAAAGTGAAATGTTTTGGCTCCTTCCACAGACCTGTTGCTGTTGGCAGTTGTGTACAAGTCTCACGTTCACACATGCACCCAGCCATAAAACAATAACACTTACGGCAGAGGGTTCCTCCTCCACACCTCTCTGGCTTTGAGGGTTTGATAGACAGTCTTCTGTTTGCCCTCTGTGCCGTTCTCTCCTCTTCGGCTACTCTGCATCACCCGTGAAAACTCCATCTTCTCATCCCATGTCCCTGACAGCACGTAGTGGGCCTTGCCATCCTTGTCCATCACCACACCTGTCACCTGAAAATAGAAGACAGAGGGAATTAATAGGCAGAGTTCAACATCCTGAGCTATGGAGCATAGGTGGCAGGTTACTGGGTAAAATTTTCAAGTACAGAATAAAACTGCAACTTGGTTAAAGACAACAGAGTCCAGCAGAGTTTTTATTATGGCACAGGGGAATTCTTGTGCAGCAAGGGGACATGGAAAGAAATATGATAAATACACAATGAGGCATTTGGAGACATTAGAAGCACATTTACTATGCATGCAATACAGAAATCAACAAAAGGTTCATGGGATACAACCAAATGAAATGAGCAAAGGTAAAAACAGGGCTAAAATAAAGTGCTACTCTGTGTGGGAAACCAAGAGGAAGTTCAAGGTGCATTAACAATTAAGAGTTTTTATTGTAAAATGATAAATGAAATTAAATCAAAGTGAAATTTGGTGCATGCTCCGTGGGAGTAAAACTGGCTTTGTTTAAAGCGTATTGTACTTCCTTGTACACTGCTCATCTGTGATGTAATTATAAAAAGGGCAGTCTTCAGAAACTGTCAGTAGCTTACAATGACGCCCTGAGGATATTATTGAGAAAACCTAGATGGACGAGTGCTAGTGAATTGTTCGTGTCATCTCGAGTTAGTACATTTTCCGCTGTTTTAAGAAACCTGATGTTTAAATTTATTTGTCGCCTGAATGGTTAAAAAAAAATCATATAATTTTATCGTTGACTAATGTTGCACACAGTGACATGCGTTTTACTTCGGTTCTCTGGAAACACTGGTATGCCTGCCTTTTAAAGGGGCAGTAGTTTTATGGGTGTTCTTGTGTTCTCGTTTTTATGTATTTTCTGTTTTTATTGTTTTGTTTTTAAACTGTTCTTTTATTGCTTTTATTTGTTTTGAACCTGGACCTTGAGTCTGTAATAAAGTGTCATCATCATCATCATCATTTACTGGCAAAAAATATGTTTCACACACAGGGAATTTGTCTCTGGTACAGAACCGAGGTAGCCATCTGTGGCGCCAACTCACACACACACACACACACACACACACACACAGATGGTGGAGTTGATCTGGCCATCGGGAGCAACTTGGGGTTCAGTGTCTCGCCCAAGGACACTTCGACATGTGGACTGAGGAAAACAGTAATCGAACCACCAACCTTCCGGTTAGGGGACGACCACTCTGCCTCCTGAGCCACAGCTGCCCCCAGAAAACTAAATCAATCAAGGGTTTCTGCATTTTTCTCACCTTCCTGGCCACATCTCTGGAGAAGTAGCTGTAAGGAGCAAACTTCAGATGGCAGCGGTCTCCAGTGGTGTGGTTGACTACGTCTATCTCTCCAGACTGGATGGGAAACAGAAAGTTTGAGGGATGCTTCATTTTCAATTGAATAAAAGTTTATATGTCAGTTTAGACTTGGAATTGTGGGACGTCAGCAGGATGGCTCTGTACAGAACTGTGCACGGTTTTCAAAGGATTCAATGGTTTGTCATATGCACAACTAAAATGAGTGAAATACATGGTGGTGTATTCTTAAGGCTGCACAATTTATCAGCGTATAAAAATGTACCACAACTAAAGCAAACTATTCAATAAATAATGCATTTTGTACGCACTTGAGTGTAAGCATGCAACATTATGCAAAGGATGTTTGATATAGAGCTGTGATACTGATACTGTGTATGGCATGATAATCCTGTGTGCTATCACAGATGTTTTGGAGTTTTAAAAATGATTATGAATTTGTCAGTTGTCAGAGATACTGATCTATTTAATCCTGCTAATGGAAGCTATCACGTAAACATCTGATAGTACAAGCATTGTGCAGGTAATGCCGCACATCAGGCCTCAGCAGTACAGGATTTACGAGTTTTTGCACTTTGTTCATCACAGAACAACTTGATTTGTCTGGTGAGGGTCCTGCTTTAACTCTGTCAGTCTCACCTGATCGATCCACAGTTTTCCTACAATGATGTTGTGCACTGTGGTGGTAACTTTCTTCCATGTGTAGTGATTGTTACTCTTTTCAAAGATTGCGTGAATTGTGCCTACATGGAAAGAGGAAATAGACGGGGGTTATTAATCAACTGCATCTAACAAAACAAGCCTTTGTGAATGCCTCATTCAAAGATTCCATTAAAAAAAGGTGCGCCAGACATTCCTCAAGCTTTGCTCATTTCTTTTTAAAGAGCTATGATTACTGCTTTATGTGCGCTGTTTTGTATTCTTAATCAGAAAGGAACTGTATTGTTCACGTCACACCCTACACCTCCGTCATCAAAGCATGCTTCAAATGTTATGAAGCTGAATGTCTCTTACCCAGCGGCATAATAGACAAATATTTGCCCCTGAATTTACTGGCAACAGTAATTTCCTGCCTCAGAGTCCAGCCACGGTCAGAGATCACATGGTGTGCAGCTGCAGGTGGGTGGTGGCTCACCTGAGAAAGAGATGCAAACTATGTGAAGCGTACAGTCTGGTTTAGAAAAAGACAACATAGCCTGAGGTGCCAAATGTGGTATCCTTACTGTTTTGACAGATTCTGATGCACCCTAGCTGTTGCAACTCGCACTGAATTTACAGACAAAGTGAATTTACAAACTTGTGAACTATAAAGCATGAAACAAACATCAAACAACAATCCCAGTATTTCAAATCTAACTATATCCCCCATCTACAACAGGGTTTAAGTTTCCCCCAGTTGTACAACCCCATTTAAATTTCAAATCTAATTATATCCCCCATCTACAACAGGGTTTCAGTTTCCCCCAGTTGTACAACCCCATTTAGAGCCTTTGTGACTGAACTGAACCAATCTCTCTCTCACTATATATAAAAGCTCATGCTCTTGATGCTGCTTTCTCCACAGCTGTATGATCACGACTGAAAGCTGACTGAAAGCAGTTTATTGGATTAGTTATTGAGTTGGATTCCTTTTCCTCATCTTCAGGGACAGAAACCTCTGTGGGATTTTAATTTTCCAGCCTTAAGCCTCTTTTTTTGTGTCACCCACAAATCCCCTCTCCTCTGAACATCCTTTGTCAATGAACTGCAGTTCAGTTCCCATAAAGAATGAAGCCAGAACAGACTTTTTTAAAGGTCAGGGGCTTTCAGCTGGTTGTGACCCAGGGACCACCATAGTGACTGAAGCAACCTGAGGACCACTGCTGTGTGGTGGATAGACCAGAGGGGCACTATTTTAATCCTGAAGGTCACCTTGGCTTTTCTAAATTTTATGTAAGAATGACAATAATTAATACATGGAAATGTGTTTAAAAAATAAAATTAAAAAGTGATTCCCACGGTGAAAATAAATGACTGAGTGTACGGTCAGGGACCACTTACAACGCCTTCATAAACCATCCGGGGGTCACAGACTACTGGCTGAAACCCCTGTTCTAGGTGAATCTCCATGGCAGTTTGTCCCAAATAAAGGTTAACTTACATATTGTTTTGTATCTTGTCTTTCATATAAAAATGCCACACCTGTAATTTTCAGATTATAAATAAAAATGGTTTCCATGTGAAGTCTCCCTAAGCATTAATACCTGCGGCACTCTCCTAACACTTAATGTTTAAACTGCCTTTCTGTTCCTGATTTGATTGGTTGACGCTGATGAATGCGAGCGCCCTGGAATGTATGTAACCCTAAATACATCAAAAAAGGAAGCAAAAAATTCTCAGAATGCTGAGTCAGTGGAATTTGTGAAGTCATCCTTCTTCATGTTCATTTCTTGTTTATTTAATTCATTTTCACTTCCTTGTTGTTAGCTCTCTGTCCTTCTGAGTGTCCTCCTCTCACCTGCTCACAGAGGGAGCGGTACCCGCTCTCTCTCTGGCGGTCCAGCTCGTACGTCTCTCCGAGAAGAGGGTTGAAGGGCTTGCCCGTGCGGTAGATGGTGGTCGAGTAGGAGGACACGGAAAAGGCAGCCACGTAGCACATCTGCTCCAGGGAGCTATGGCACTTGGCAGCCTTATCCAGCAGCTCATGGTACTCGAGGTCCTCAGACAAGCGCTGCAGCATGGAAATGGGCTCATTGAAGTTCACCTGCAGAGAGCAGAATAATTTAGACATGGACTGATGTTTTGATTTGATTTGATTTTTGATTTGATTTATTCTTTCAAACATGTAACGACAGTCAATATGTCAACACACATAATTTTTACCATCATTGGTTTGCAAGCAATAAATGATTCACTTCTACACACTCACCTATTATACTAAAAAGAATATAACAGTATTAACATTCTTACATCACACAAGTGATATACTAAAGAATGGTTACAAAATATACATCACACCCACAACAGTTAATCATTGAGCCTGTTCTTGCATATATCTTGATTGACACATACCTTTATATTTATGTTTAAACTTGTCAATTCTAGTACTGTTTTTTATGTCTACACTTAAGTTATTCCATAGTTTTACCCCACTTATGGAAATACAGAATCTTTTTTTGGTTGTACGTATAGCATGAATTTTTAAATTTAACTGACCCCTTAAATTGTATCCCCCTTCCCTTTCATTAAATAGTTTTTGAATTCCACCAGGTAATAAATTGTTCCTGGTTTTATACATAAACACAGCAGTCTTATATCCCACTAAATCAAAAAATTTTAACAATTTAGACTGTATGAAAGCTACATTGGTGTGATCCCTGTACCCCATCTTATGCACAATTCTTATCGCTCTTTTTTGTAATATATACAATGGTTGAAGTGAGCTTTTGTATGTATTTCCCCAGTTTTCAACGCCATACTCCAAGTATGGTAAAATCAATGAAGAATACAAAATGCGTAGTGCTTTCCCGTCCAAAATATATCTAACCCTTGCCAATATCGATATATTCTTTGCTATTTTGTGCTGAACATATCTGATATCAGATTTCCAGGTGAATTTATCATCAACTATGACACCTAGAAATTTAATTGTTTGCACTCAGTATTACTTCAAGTGACCATAACTTTTAGTTTGAAAATAAAATTAAAGAAAAAGAAGACCTACCCCAAGAAGTTATTTAAAAAAAATGTACAAATATGTCAAGACTTGACTGCATGAAATTTCAACTACCATGATCTTTCTTTAGTATCAACAGATTGTACAAAATAAAATCATACATTATTTATTACAATAAACAGACATATTTAAATGCAGGGATTTTTAAAATCACTAAACTGGTTTTACATTGCTAATACAGTTTACTATTTAGCAACACTTCATGTGTAAACATTCCAAAAAGCTCAGAGGCCAGACTATCAACAGGTGTTAGTGTTTACTAGAAACCAGTAAGGCTATAATAATAGGCACATTCCAGCTTCCTTGATGTGGTTCTTCCGGTTATTAAACCCTATTGGCAATAAGAAAAATGTAAGGAGGAAAGTGAAAGTACTTAAGGTGTTTTTCGCCTGGTACTGACTCAACTCTACTCACTTCTGGTATCAGGTGCTTGGTTTTCAACTGCAGATGGTCCCCTCTCAGTGTAGCTGGTTGTCATAGTGGCACAGCATTACGCTGCCGTGATGTTGTCAGCAAACAACACAGTAACAATGGACAACATTGAACGAATGCTGCTCTTGATTCTCGTTATGTGGCTGTTTTTAGTTAGTACAGTAATTACAGTAAAGTAGCAGTTAGTGCTAAATAAGGTTGCTTTTAAAAATGGCCCTTTCTTTGTTCCAGGACATCTCACACATTGATGACACAATTTCTCTGATCAATCGCTAGTCTGCAGTGTTTACACGTCACCGTTTGGTATCACCGCTGGTCGCTTGCAACCTTGACGGAGGTGATACCAAAAATAATACGAAGTACTACCCCTGACATTTGACTGATGGAAAAAAAAATAAGATGAGTCGAGTTGAGTTGAGACAGTAGCAGGCAGTGGAAAAGGAGCTATAATATTATATCATCACTAATACAGGATTTTTGCAAAATCATTCAGGAAATGAACAAATCGCTGGACAGATAGGATCACTGATATGCATCTACACAATGTCTCAGAGGTTTTTCCAATATAACTTAACAAATGGTTGCTCAGCCTGATCCGTTACAGCAATTTTCACCTCAGGTGGCTGTGACAGAATGCCATTCTTTCTGATATTATCTGTCTTTTTTAACCCACGTCAGAAGATCAATGTGATTGCAGAAGTCTATGAAGTAGTAATGTTACCTTTTTACTGTAAGTCACACTGGATACCGAGCAGCAACTGCAGAAAATACTCACAGGCATTGGGATCTTGGACAGCTCTTTGCCGATGCAGTTTTTCATGATACTCCATAAGTTGAGAGAGTAGTTGGGTTTGTCCGGGATACGCGTCCGTCTCTTCTTCAAGGGCACAAGGTCCTGAGAGGGGGAATCCTGGCTCATCGCTAAAGGCTCCTCATTAAGCTATAAGGCAGAAACTTTTGTCAATTAAGCTCCTATAAATAACAGCTTTAAACGCAGACTAAACAACATTTTATAATCTATATAATCTATCGTAACTGCGGCACATGGTTAGAATTGAGAAATCTACCACTGCTGCAGTTTTACAATACAACACTGTGTATTTAACAGTCATAAATGATAGTAAACAACATGTTAACAGTGTTGCAGCTAAAAAGAGTAAACCAGGTGTTGAACACTGATCCCAGCGGCTAGAATGAAACGTACCGACTGATCATCAGGACACAGGTCACTGTTGAAACCGCTGATATTACTGCTTGACCTTCTGTAAGAGATTTCAAAAAATAAACAGGTATATAAGACAAATATAAGTAAAACTGTGCATGCAAGCGGCTAAACTGATACTAAGCCAAACAATCATAAATGACTGCAAAAACAAAGACAGTGCAAAGCAACCAAAGCAGATGACTTTAATACACCTTTGTGCCTCCATGTCACACAAGGTTTATTCTTGTTAGCTGCTTGTGTGATAAACAGATACTGACTTGTGGAACTGTGGGTCTGCAGGTACAGTGATAAACTCAGGAGCTTCTTCCATGGCATCAAAGAACTCATTTTCATCGTCTTCATCACTGGCTTCACCTTTTTCTGGTCCTGCAGCACCTTCACAAGAAACAATCACTGGCGTTCAGTGTTTCTCACATTGAAACTGAAAAAAGTGATATAGGTACAGTTAAACTCTTTTCTAATTAATCTTTTCCACAACAAGAATTTTCTCTCCAAGTTTAATATCAGAATGAAAGCTCTGATATTTTCAGTAACAGTTATTTTCCTAATTAGCTGGTAAATACTACTATATTAAAAATGCAGGCCTTTCAGTAGGAACTCAAAGCAACAAAAGGCAGTACACCTTTCATTACCGAGACTGGCAGTGTGCTTTATTATGCTGGAATATTCCTCTGTTGCAAAACTAGACTGGGAGTCATCTTATCAGCCTGGATAAATGTAATCTCCCCCAACACCCCAGCATCTTCTGTACTGCCTGCATCATCACACTTCCACCTCCATGCCTCACTGTCAGGACTAAGCACTCTCTGTAGTAGTCTTAACTAGGTTAACGCCAAACAAGCTGGCATGGGTCAACATCTGCTCTTACTTTTAATGTCTGCAGAAGCATTAGCGTGTGCAGCCCCTCGGAATGCCCGCTCCAAGTGATTGTGCTGCTTAGCCAGTTGCTCTAAAGTCTCCTCCAGCCTCACTCTCTGCCCCCGTTCTGCTTGAAGGGCTTTCTGCCATCGCTTGTTGTGAGCCTGTGCCAGTGCGAGGAAGTCTCGGCATGCCTGAGTGCAACAACATCACACACTTGTACTAGTGAATCCCAATATCCAACTACTAAAAGTAATTTTGTCCAGCTAATTTATCATGCACAGAGTACAGACTGAATGAAATATAAATCCATAACACCCACTGTCCCAGATAAATTGTATGTCAAGAACAAGGCAGGAGTAGATGTCCAGGGGGAGATGGTGATACTTACATTAATCATGGCATTGGAGGTGATACGGAACAGTGTGGCCCTCTCCGTCACCTGACGAATCTTATCCCCAGCCTCCCCAGTCAGACGCAAACTGTCCAGTTCTGATAAAGACCTAAAAGAAACATCACAGTGTATATATAGAATGTATAAACTGTCAGGACAATACATCATTAGTTTGTGTAAAAGGCCATTCACCTCTGATTCAATGAACTATCAGTATAACTCGTGCCTTGTTTCTGGCAACTGTTTATCTACACACCCATTCTATGAAAGGTGTAATGCTACACCTAAGTTTAACATTTAAAATTCAAAATAGTATCTTGCTATTGTAAATGGTACATTCTTGGCATAAGATCTCCAAAAATATTTGTCATGAGTGATCTTATCTCCGCAAATTTTAGCATGTCCATGTTTTGGAGTCTTCATTTCTAAATTATGACAGAAGAGACGTGTGAGACGTGCATTTGACTCTGGCCTGAGGACTAAAGCAAAAGCAGAACAAAAGACTGTTAAAGCCTGACCTCTGGAGGGCAGAGCCATGCTTTGAGATCAGGTCGTTGCACGTGCTGAGATCCTCCACCTTGCTGCTTAGTGTTCTGAGAGCAGACTGGACATCTGAATTATGTGACCCCCCACCTTGTCCTGGTGCCACAGGTGCAGATGATGATGAGAAATCGTCCCCAGAATCATCTGTTAATCAAAATGACAGCAGAGCAAACTTTAGAGAAAAAAAAAAGTATCACAGCAACAACAATAAATTGTTCTTTCTCTCCACATGTCTTCACATATTCAAATATGTTTGTGTGTTTCACCTGACTCAGGCTCCATGTGGGCTGCCTTTGCTTTGGCCAGCTCAAGGGCAGTGATCCAGCGTTGACGTTCCACCTCACAGCTCGCCTTCAGGTGATATGTCTGTAACCCACCATTAGAGATGACAAAGTTGCAGGCGTCATCCACAGATATATTTGCTGTGGCCAAGTTGATTGTGCCCCGACACGTATGGCCCATCTCTGCCTGGGTCCTAATAACCAGAGGAATGTGATTAATTTCTTTGTTGAAACTATAACTAGACAAGGGAAATAAAAGATATAACATGGGCCATTTCCTGTTTTTAACAAACCGTAAAACACAGTTCTACTATCTGATCTACAGCTATCCTAAAATTACTTGGTTTTCTGAGATTACAACATTTCCTCAGGGTTAATCTGACAAGTACATTTAACAAAAACTGAAAGCACACTCAATGAGGTGAGGCTGACTGTTACATGCATTCCATTGACAAGTGAACAATAGGTTGATGGTGTAATTAAGTAAAACAGGTTATAGAAGATTAGTGCTAAGGGGTTTTTCTGGTGACATGGTCAAGGCTATTGTTCCTCTGTGTTATGCATTTCCTGTGTTTTACAGGAAAACACACCTGTAGTATGACAACAACCCATTGCTCAGGACAAACCACCTCCGCTGATAACCCTTGATGTAATTTGTCCACTTGAACACCCATCCTTTGTATGTGTCACCGGCAGGAGCTGGAGTGGGGGTCCTGGGATCTGACATCACAGCCCCCAAAATCAAGATACTGATGTGAGTAACCTTAAAGGAAAATGAAAGTTAGAAATCTTTAAACAGCAAAGTTTTTGCTTCCATATGGAGCTAAATCAATGAGTTCATCAACACAAAACAATTTTTTGTCATTTCATTAAAACAAAAATGCCACAAATTTGTTGGCTTTATTGACTTAAATCATAAAAAAAATGTTTTTTGTTTGTTTGTTTGTATCAAAGTGACTACGTGTGGTTTAATACTGCTGGTTGGACAAGGCAAGACATTTTATTATCAGCTTGGACTTTGTGCAATTATAATAGGGTTGCAACAGGTTATATGCATTCCATTCAGCCCTATTATCTGACATTTTATGGCCCAAAGAGTTAAGCAAGAAAAACTGTTGTTTAAGTGCTAATAAAACTACTAAATCACATACCCATTTTCATACTAAACCATTTCAACAATTTATACATTAACATGACTCATTAAACCTGGTATAATAGGTCAAAGGTTAACTCTGAAATCAATACAGATTCACTACTGACACGTTTTAGTAACAAAACAGGTGTTTAAACAAAGTGGAAGTTCAAGAGACCGAGATGTGATCAAAATATATTAATTCCATGTCAACTAAACATTATTTATTCGAACTTTAAAAGGGTTTTAGAAGATAATTCCAACGATCTTGTTTTGGTTCATGTAAGTTTACATTACAGAGCCAGATGACAACATAACAACATAACTCTAAAAACAGCTGCGAGCTTGACACCAGAAGCTAGCCAGCGTTAGCACTAATTAACCTAAAGTGGGGATTACAGTAATAATAGCTCAACATTGCCAGGGAATGAGCCAAATTGAGGAAACGCCAACTGACAGGTTTTGTCGAAGTTTAACAGCTGCTGTGTGCATATTCTTAATACGGTACAAACAAGGCACACCGCTAGCTAGTTTCGAAACTCGCCAAGAGCTCAGTGTTTACCTTGACGTGTCCGAAATTTGAGATCAGGCAACCTGACACCCGGTGTAGTCGCGGTTAGCTCTGACACCCATACGCCACTGTACCTAGCTGAAGAGGCTAGCTCGCTAACGGGACAGCTAATGTTGAAAACAACTAGACGGAAGACGTCGACAACAACAGCGGCTTAATTATTACATAATGCTACACCAACGACTTTCATTAGTATCCATTAATTGTCGTGTGTATATTGTTAACAATACCACTGCGTACGACGAGAAGAATCTAAAGCTAACTGAGATTTACGTGTTGGTTACACCCGGTGCAATCCAATTTGGTCCCGTCTAAAACATAGACCTGGCTGCATTGTGTTCCCATTAGTTGCGTCAAGCTAAACAATCTCGTCCCTAATCTCGACGTTAGCATTCAACGTAAAAGCATATTGTGGCAGTGTTTGTCATATAAAAACAAGTTGCATGGTTGTTGAAAGAAAGCTGTCATCTATCTATCTATCTATCTATTACACCTACTTTTATTTATTTATTTGATGCATCCTGTTATGCAATTGATGCAACAGTTTGTATTGAATTCTATTTCAAAAAAATTAAAAAGCATAAAAAAATCTAACTATAGATATTATTTTGTCAATTTACTTATGACTTTTGTAAATACAACTCATGTTATGCCAATAATAGGTTCTAGGTTAACCGGGGAATGACGATATTTGTGCTAACATTACTTTAGTAATTTTACATTTCGAGAACCTTTGAATTTTTGAAGACCCTAATCGGAAACTCACTTTTTGCATCTTGCTAGCTTGACATTTATAAATTCATCACTAGCAGAACTCTGCTCACTAGTAGCTAGCTCGCCCAACGTTGGTTGCGTCATCCTTAGACGTCACTGTTGTTCACATAAACTCAAATAAAAAGTATATTAGAATATTTACTACGAGATTACTAGTACGACATGTTGGTTATGTTAACGTTGTTTGCAGTTAGCTACCAAACAATGCGAATGAAAACCAGTTTAACGTTACACCATAATGCTGAAGTTCTGGTTGTTTAAATATGCGGGGTGTTTATCGCAACTATGTTTTAAACAAACTTGTTCAGTAGCAAAAACTTTACTACTGAACAAGTTTGTTTAATGTTAAACAATTTTTTGCTGAATCGGGGTGACAAAAATGCGACTCTGGTGGGACTCGAACCCACAACCTTTGAATTACTTCGCTATTTGCCTAGAAGTCCAATGCGCTATCCATTGCGCCACAGAGCCACCTGTTGCACGTGGTTTAGATCATAATATTTAAAACAATATAATCGTTAGAGGTTCTGTATTTTCTCATATTTTGTGTTTGTCGATCCTGTGTTTACCTCCCACAAACTCCACCATTCCGTATTCTGACTGTGGGACACAACTTTAGAGAATAAATAATGAGCCTGCCATGTGTCACATTGAACACTTGATGGCGCTGAAGGACCAAAAAATTACCAACAAGTGACCCTACATGACATGACAGATAGCTACATAAATACTCCTGATCACGATTGCAAAATAATGGAAATTCACTGATCATACACAATTTAAAAATATTTGAGGAATCTGTAGTAGCCTTGTAATTTCAATGAATATTTTATTACATTTTTATTTTATGCTTTGACATATGGGAAATATGCAGGAGTTAGCTATCTTTCTGCCACCTGCAGCCTCTACAATAGGAGTAAATAACCCAGAATAAATTCCTGACCAGACCACATTCCTCTGGGCTAGGAAGGTTTTATTGTGCCATCTTCCGCCTTTGATGAAATAGGCTACACTCCCTTTATCACTGGAATCCAGGTTAAGGTGGAGTCAAATGTGTTTTTCTGGTTGTGCCTCTTTGTAAACTGGTTAATGTTTACAAAGCTCTAGGACTGGAAACAGCACTCGGATTCTAAGCATTAATACCACATTATAAATGCATTCCTGTGTAGAATATGTATAATCAGAAAAATGTATTTAAAGTTATTTAATGTGCAAAAATGACACCTCCGACTGTTGTAGGCTATTGTTATAATTTATATTATTACTACTGATGCACTAATGTAAAAGAAGGATGTCATAGTTAATAGTTTTGTATATAGCAACTCAGGGGTGTTGCTGGACATAAAGTTCTACTGGGGCACAGGACCCTCATAACTCAAATCGCACACACAAAAAAAATTCTTGAATGTTTATTACTTATTCCACTGCCTGCTGCTACTACAACTACTGGTAAAGGTAAAAATGTTGAGAATCATCTTTATGGAAACATTTATTATAACATACATTAAAAGAAAAACAAGGTAAGATTACCTTAATCTATGATGGCTATATAATCACCTTTATTGGCCAAGTATGTTACACACAAGGAATTTGTTTCCGGTACAGCACTAACTCAACTGATGGCTCTGACCATCAGGGGCGTTCATGGTCTTGCCTAAGGACACTTTGACATGTGCCAGCACCGAGATTCGAACCTTCAACCTGGGAGACAGCTACTCTACCCACCGCACCACCATAATCATAGGTGTCCACATTTTCAGACTATAAACAGCCTGCCATTCACGTCTCTGTTGGGCTCTAGTTAGCTATTTGTTTCAGTTATTCTTATTTCATTAAAGTGGATTTGTAGTTGCAACATTAGCTGTTTCCATCTTTGCCAACGGTGTTTCCCTTGGTGTTTTCTGTCATGATAATGAAAGATATCTCCCAGTTCTTTTAACCAGGAACTCAGAGAGACGAAGCGGACCACTTGGATATAAAAAAAAAAAAACGTGTTGGTTTATTCAAAGGATTACAGGTGAAATTAACATTACACGTCCAGGTATCTTGCACCTCCAATACTGCGTGCAGGCAGATGAAGAATGAAAGACCCTGAACCATAATGCCTATACCATATTATCACTTGGTTGGGCTAGCCCATGCTACACAGGAACGTCAAACCGTGACGTCACCTGATATGCCAGCTTTGCAGCTGACCATAACAATATATCATACAGTAGCCACTTTCTATCTAGTTATCCTGGAACATAAACAACCTTGAGTAACTCCTGGAAATGAGTAAGCATTTAACAGTCTGAGCTAGACAGCCTGTCTCCACTAAACATTTCTAATACAAGTATCTAACCAATATCTATCTGACTAAAAAATTACCTAACAATTGTAAAACTGAATAGGCCTGTTTGGCTGGATAAAACTGTCCTGAGAAGATCTCTAATAGGACTAATATGGACTGTTGGTGTGTGGAGCCTTTAACAAATTATAGAAATAGATTTTGTGGGGAAAATTGCAGTTTTATTCTAAATAAAATCTGCCTAAATGGGCCTGTATAAACTATATTAGCCTATATTAGTAGTTTGACTGATTGTTTCTCATGATTTTCCAGCTGTGTGCACTAGAGGGCGCCAGGACATAAACACATAGTCATGTTCTACTCTAAATGTTTGAGCCTACTCTTGTCATCTATTATAGGGCAGCAACAGATTATGTTCACTATCAATTAACATGCCAGCTATTTTCTTAATAGATTAACTGAGATCCCAAAATGCCTTGTTTGTGACGATCAAAAGGCCAAAACTGAAAGAAGCTTGCCATTGTTTAGTTTATCATGAAAGTTTTAAGAAGTGAGGCACAGTAGATCAATACACTAAAAGGGGTCTAACGACGCCTATGCTGCAACTACAGATTATTTTCATTATGGATTAATGATCAAGTTACTGATTATTAGGTTATTTGCTATATTTGTAGCCCATGTGTATTTACTCTTAGGTGGCTAAAATGATTACGCATCATATTTCATACGCATGCATTGCGTTTTTACAGCTTTTGAAAAGTAAAATAATTGCAGAAATGTGTAGTCTATGTTTCCAAAGTAGGCTATACAAATTCTTTATCGTACCCTGAGTTTAACGCATGCGCAACGAGGAAGTCAGATACAAGGCATTCACAACTGTTAGGTTACTTTAATTAGTTACATTGTACATACGCGTTGTTAATATTTCACCGCCAGTCAGTTGTGCGTCAACATCCGGAGAAATACGCGTGTAAACGATGATATCCCCTTGAGTCCTGCGTGTCTTTGATATATCCTGCCATGAGCGGAAGTGTCTGCAATTCTGCTCAATCCATGTTTCCAAAACAGTCGTTTGCAAAGGGAGACGGTGAGCATCGCCTGCATCTCTTCCCATCACCTTCGGGCGGGCTCCGTTCAGCGTCGCCCTGCACCGTTTAATGTGGATATATCCGCAGGGGACGGGACATGCTTACGCAGGTTAGGCTTTTACAACAGGCAAATGTAATTTCTGACCAACAAACAGTAGAGTGGCTGATCATTTCAATATTTCTTTATTTCTAATGGGCGTATTTTGTTAAAGGTCTGCGCAATCGACGTGAACGCCTGCCTGGACACAGGAGCGGATTAAGTTACTGGTGCTGGTGGCGGATTATTGTGTTGGCCTCGTCCTGCCACCCCCCGAGTCCTGCTTGGTGATTCTTTTTCCAATTACGAGCGGACGTCAAAAGCCAGGTATGCTGTTGAATTCGAAATAATAACCTTGACGTTTCCTTTAAGTGAAATGTGGATTTGTTATTCATTATTATTGGCCCTTTGTTGTTCATGTATTACTGATAGTTAGTCTTTGCAAAAACACATTTCTTCGTATTGTGTGCAGGCAACAATAGAAGCCCTAACACAAACGATTAAAGATTAACAATATAGCAGGCCGATATATTATACAGCAGGAGCGCGCTATTTAGCAGCACAGACCAAAATGCCGATGGAGGTTTTCCATCCTTGGGCTGTTATTTACAAAACAGTATGGATGAGTTCCCACAAGCACAAACACGAAGTGGGCTACCTGCTAATATGAAAATTGCTTTGACAGCTGTGAAGGTAGATGGCATAAAGCGGCTCTGACTGCCCAACCCCCTTCCCCTCTCGGCGTGTTTTGGTTACAGGCAGATTATGCGCTTTTGTCCACTGAAGCTTGACTGTACTCGTCTGGACACATTCCCAGAATGAAAGACTTCGCCTGCTGTTTTGACAAGCCCCTTTCTCTCTTGCTGACAGCTTAAAGATGACGGGGATCCACTGAATAAGCTGAATAATCATTTTTATTTGGACACTGGTACAGTTTTTAGGGGTCTTAAATGATCATAAACCATGTATAGTACACATCTGGTCCCCACTGACACAAAAAAACTAACTGAACATCTTCTGGTTATACATACTGTATACAAAACTAGTAGTTCAGTCTAGGGCTAGAGCTATGGTTTTCATTATCTATTAATAATTTAATTTTTTGGACAATAAAACATCATAAAAGAAAGCTAAATACTGGTCACACTTTATGTCGCACTTGCTGGTTTTGTCTGACCAACAGTATGAAAGATACCATATTTTATAGATAAGGATATGAAACAGGAAAAGCAACAGATCATCACATTTCATAGGCTGAAACCAGAGACTGTTTTTGATTGCAAATTTAAAAGATGAACTGTTTTTCAAGTTGTTGCTGATGAATTTTCTGATAATCGACAAATTGTGTCAGCGAATTTGCTTTTAATTCACTCGATACATTTGTTTATTCCTCCACAGACATGTCTTTCCGGCGAGGTGTGGTGAGACAGAGCAAATTCCGACATGTTTTTGCTCAAGCGTGGAAAGCCGAGCACTGCATCGACGACGTCAGAGTGTCCCGCGTGACTTGGGACAGTCCCCTTTGTGCGGTCAACCCGAAGTTCCTCGCTGTTATCATCGAAGCAGGTGGAGGGGGGGCCTTCCTTGTTGTTCCGATCAGCAAGGTTTGACCCCCACTGCTTTATGTTCAGCATCAGATAAACAGTAGATCAATATTTTTTAAAGCCTCTGTCTTGTTTCCTGTCTTCCACTCTGCTACTAAAAGCATGATGTCACTTCATGTCTGGTTAATGCATATGCAGCACTTTTACAGTTCCAAGACCAATAGTGGACAAAGGTTGTACCCGTGTAATGGGTTAAAGTTTCTCAGGTCAGATGTCATGATGTCTGGTCGCTGTTTGTTTCTTCCACAGAGCGGCAGAATTGATCAGTCCTGCCCGACAGTGTGCGGCCACGCGGCTCCAGTGCTGGATATTCAGTGGTCTCCTCATGACGACAACATCATTGCAAGTGCCTCAGAGGACTGCACAGTAAAGGTTGGTGAGCAGGTCTAAAGGCTTGTCAGTGTGCCAGTGGTTTGTGGCACTTTATCAGTTATTGGTGTTGGGTTAACACAGGTTGCCCTGATCACAGTTGGGGAAATTGGGTCTCTGACACATGTAGGGAATGTCTTCTGACTTTAAAGAAGAAGTCCATTGTTTACAGTATTGAGCTCTTTTGTGATGTCAGCACTGTTTCAGATGCTTTTTCATTCATCCATATCCTAATAAAGTGATGAATTTAAAAAGTAAATCCAGAAAACATTTAAGGAACAGTTTAATATTTTAGGAAATTTACTTATTCACTTTCTTGCTGAGAGTCAGATTAGAAGACTGTCTGCTCAATATGAAGGTACAGCCAGCAGTTAGCTAGCTTAGCATAGCACAATGGGTACATCCCTTAATTGATAGTTCCTCATTTCTTGATCCTCCACCATCTTGAAGGACATCCCAGAGTTTTTATTCCGGTTTTGACAAGCAAGGAGTGAGGAGACCACTGGGAGGAGACATGAATGAGGATACAAGAGAGCATCCTTTATGGAAGTCTTTTATGGTCCAACGCGCCCCTTTATCAATTGGTGATTGGACACTTCAGATGAGAGATCAGAGAAAAGGATGTCTCATGTCTCTAAAAACATGTTTTCTTGATTCTTCTGCCCTTGCATTTTTTTCCTCGCATCTTTTCATTGCATCTTACCTGAGCAGGACTAAGACACAAGGAAAAGATGCGAGTGAGGGGAGCATGGATATAATTAAGAGAACTGAGATGTACCCATAGACTAGGAACCACTAGCTTAGCTCTGTCCAAAGGTGAAAACATCTGCTTACCAGCACTGCTAAAGGTAAGACTTTATTGTAAGGTAAGGTAAGACTTTGGAATTTCCCCATTGTGGGATCAATAGTGTTCCAGCAGCAATAGAGAGCAAACAACAAACACCATAAGGACCTCCAAGAAGCAAATAAAAGATACATAAAAAAACAAGATAAAACATAGCACGTGAGAGGAATCGAGAACAAGAATATTAATCCCACAAGTAATTCCACAATGGGGAAACCCCCATAAAGCTTACTAATGAATACATTATACCTTGTTTGCTTAATACAAACAACAACTAAAGTGTGAAATCAATAATTTGGGGGGGGCGGGGTTCCTTTATCTGAGTTAAGGTAACAATCTCCCGGATTCATATTTACTGAACAGAACAGAAAAGGTTTATCAAAGAAAACAAGTAGAAAATTTCAGCTTTTATTTTATTTAAGGACAGTGGTTCAAAACGCCAGTCAATTCGCTCTTACAGGGTCTTCATAAGGGCTGAAATCAGGACTTAACAGTGAAGAACATTTTTCTTTCTGTAATCAAGAAAAAAAACTGTGGAGGTAAAGACTGACTGAATGTCATGGCATGAAACCTGAGCATATACCATACTAATAAGCGATCTGCTGTAAATAAACATATGTCTCCTTTGGCCTTTTGTTTGAAGGTGTGGCAGATCCCAGATGGGGGCCTGTTAAGTCCAATGACTGAGGCCAGTGTGACCCTTGAGGGCCACAGTAAAAGAGTGGGAATCCTGGCTTGGCACCCAGCTGCCTTCAACATTCTCCTAAGTGCAGGTAAGCTCATGTGTTGGTAGCAAAAAACTAACTGGATTTTCCATAACTGTTTGATATATGATGAGACACACTGCCCTTTTACCTACTTTATGGTTTAAAAAGTAAATGGAAACACTGTGCAACGAGACCAGTGTGTTTTTATGTTGCTTTATATACATTTACATAAAAATGAAAATCTAAAAAGGCATGCGCCGACAGACCATATGAAAAGAGTGTGTGTCATGCTAACGTTTTATATAAATAAAAGTAAACTTCGCCAATGTCTAGGAACCAGTTTTCCTCCTTAGAAAATACTGCTAATAACAATGGCAAACAAGATTCCAACAGTACTTAAACTGTGTTATTCCTCTTGTAAACATTTCATATTATCTGGAGGAAAGTGATGTATACCCGTCATCTGTACACAGTGACTGTGCTGGTGTTCAGTGACAGATACTACTGCATTATACAAGCAAGGAATTGGATTTCCTTCCTCAGCAACTCATAGCACGCAATGACAGTGTGGTTAACCTGAAAAATAATTACACTTTGCTCGCAAAGGCTCTAGATCTAGTTTCATTTGAAGACCATCCTGCATCTCCACGTGTATCCTAGGCAAGTAGATGCATTGCTTCTGTTATTTAATTAGCCACAGACACAGATTGTTGAACTATAATGACGTTTTTACAGTTTACAAGGCCAACATAAACTAATCCAGAAATCTAACAAAGGTGGTACACATAACAAAATTGAAGAAACCATATAGCTTGCTATCTTAAAGAACCATGCTGAAATGATGAGGAGAAAATGACATAAAAGCCCCTAAAAACCTTCTTTCAAATTCCAGTTCATTTTTCTATATAATAAATACTCGTGACCAAAGAAGGAACAACTGAAGTTCAGGTTTGGGAAACCACATCTTTAGGTATTTTGCTTATCAAACTTTAAAGCATTCAAAAATGAACTAATCTTGAGGTTGGTGTGGGTGTGGTTTGGTCATTTGACCCTAGGGACCTGGCAGAATAAACAAAAAACCCACCGACTGTCAAATCAGGACTGGGGACACCACCCTTTTTCCAGTGAGAGCTCTCTCCACCTTAAACCTGTAAAAAGGACATAAAGAAAACACACATACACAGTAATATCTAGCACAACTAGCAGTCCAGACCTACAAACTCCTAAAGGTATCTGTATCATATTGAACATTTTAACAATCACAAAAAATAAAATGGAAACTGTTGTTAGTTGGGACCTGAATTCTGTTCCAATGAGGAACCATCATACTTACCTGGCTCTTTGTAATGGGATTGTTTTCATGGAGAACTCTACAGATGTCATCAGCCGATGAGCCAGTCATTTGCTCTTTATTTGCATAGGGACACACACCTGTGGCATGTCAAGCCCATTCATTCACATGCTGAGATAGGGAACAACATGTCTAAAAGCCAACAACATAACAAAATATGACTTCAGAACAAAGCTGGTTTGTTAGACAGCAAAGGGGTTAAATTACTAATGTATTTACATCATGCATCAACTCATCTTTAAAGTGTTATCCTGTATTGGCGCTTTTCTTGGGTCTCTGTAGTCCACTGTCTTCAAATGTCTTGTGACCCAGTTCACACGTATAGAGGTTTCCTTTTATGGCTGTGTGTCGTCCTCAGAACCAAAGTCTCCAAAGTGCTTCATAGCCTTACCCCACAGTACATATCAGACTGACTCTGAGTTTATAAACCCAGCAGATCATTCAGGTCTCAAGGCGCCAATCTCCCATACCTTTCTGCATTTAGCATTAATTCACTTCAACAACTGAACAATCTGCTTTTGTGAACTTAGACAGTCTAGTGTTCTTCTGAAGTATTTTACTTGCACTTTATCACTGCCAATCTAATTTATGCATTTATGTATATCTACGTCTCTACGTGTTCTGATTTACCTTTGTCTTTAGTTGCATTGTTCTGTAAACACCTTGTACTGTTTGTGTGAAGCGCTGACATACAAATAGAACATAAATTTGTGTTTTTATCCTGGACATTTGACTCTCCTATGGACTAACACTGCTACACTGGATGGTTTCTCTCTCTCTGTCTCTTCAGGCTGTGATAATGTTATTTGTGTGTGGAATGTGGGCTCAGGGGAGCTTGTGTATCAGCTGAGTGATGCCCATCCTGACCTAATATACAGTGTCAGCTGGAACAAGGATGGCAGCGCTGTCTGCACAGTCTGTAAGGACAAGGCTCTGCGCATCATTGACCCACGACGAGGCACCGTCCTCAAGGTTATTTAACATTTTACTGACAGTAGAGTGATCCTTTCATGTTGCTCTCACAGTAGTCCTTAATAAATGCTCTAATTGTTGTCTTAGGTGAGAGAGAAGGTCCATGATGGTACTAGGCCAATGAGAGCTGTTTTCCTGTCTGATGGGAAGATCCTGACCACAGGCTTCAGCCGTATGAGTGAGAGACAGCTGGCATTGTGGGATACGGTACGCTTAATCTGCTGTATGTCTGGACTGGCCCAGTATCCCTGGAAGTTCACAAATTATCTCAGAGTTTAATGTTCAGTGCCAGTGCAAAAATCACTGTGTTTGCTATTTATAGTAAGGCTAAAAGGCAGCAGATATAGAAACAGGAAACGGCATGAGTGCTGCCACAGACCAACCACTAATGGTTTTTAATAAATAATTGTGACCAAGGTACAGTGTTTTAGATTCTAACTTTCACCATGACTTAACCAGTTTGTTTGCCATAACAGCAGTACTTACATAACTTCAGCCATACTATCCAGCAGTTGTTTTAAAAAGATCAACATTGAGCATAAAACTGTCTTAAAACATAATCCAGGGTGTTGTAGACTTGTCCAGTGTCATCATTTTGTGTGGCCATAGGGTTCAATATACAGTACATATGCAAGAAATTACACATCAAATAAATACACATATGTTTGGTTTTACAGAAAGACCTCTCTGAGCCCATAGCAGTGCAGGAGATGGATACAAGTAACGGGGTTCTTTTACCCTTTTATGACCCTGACACCAACATGATCTACCTGTGTGGAAAGGTATGACCTCGGGATTGTAAGGCAAACCCCAGTTTGATTATCTAGCTATTTTTAGTATCATTTTCCATTAATGTTTGTTTCAGTCATTTTAATAAATGTATCTTGTGGTTTTCAGGGGGACTGTACCATCAGGTATTTTGAGGTGACAGATGAATCACCATATGTTCACTTCATCAGCTTATACAGCAGCAAAGAGCCTCAAAGAGGGGCAGGCTTTCTTTGTAAAAGAGGTGTGGATGTCAACAAATGTGAAATTGCTAGGTAAGTATGCTCATGTTTTTCCTTCATATTTGTTTTATTTTATGACCTGGCTGCTGATATTCTGTATTTATCTTACTGTTGGCATATTCCATAAAGACATAAAACCACCAACGAATTTATCCTAGTATTCTGGGTTGCCATACTCGGATGTCTTATTCGTCTGTGTCACGAACCTCCATTCAGGCCGTTAACAATTAAAGACATATTATTGAGCCACACACACGGACAATGTAGTGTGTTAATCAGTTCAACATACACCTCTCTGATGCTGTGAATACTCACCCACGGACCACATGTATATGAATCCACATCTCAAAAAAGTGCCCAATAAATTCATAGGATTCATGGGAAAGAATAATATAGAATTACCTCAGACCCTTTAACAAGTTTAATAATTTCCTGCTCTATAGGTTCTACAAGCTGCATGAGAGGAAAGTGGAACCCATTTCTATGACTGTACCACGAAAGGTAAGCCATGCACCATCTCTAAAATATATAAGATTTTAAAAATAACCCTATTATTATTATTATATTACTTATTCAGCTTGCAAACCCTCTGCATCCCCAGAAACTCTGTTCATAAATGAGCAATAAAACCACTTAACTTCCTCAGCCCATCTTTGTCTTGCCTTCTCAGTCAGATCTGTTCCAGGTAGATCTTTACCCGGACACAGCTAGTTTGGATCCTGCTCTCCTGGCTGATGAATGGATTGCTGGGCAGGATGCATCACCATTGTTGTTCTCCCTGAGTGGTGGGTACACGCCTCCTCCATCCAAGCAGAGAGACACCCTCAGGAGCAAGCCCAAGCTTGCCTCGCAGGATTCCGGGGGTGGGGCAACTCCTCCTTCACCAAGCCACATAGCAGGTCCCATCCCATGTGCTCCTACCTCTGCTGCCAAGGAGGCAGCAGAAGAGTTGCTGCAACCACAAGTAGCAACAAGTGAGACAGATGGAAATACTGAGAATCCAAAGAAAGAGGTTAGGAAATAGAATGGCCATAGGAACCTTTTAATGCTTAAAGTAGATTTTTGACTTGCGCTTTCTCTCCTCCCTTCTTTCAGGATGACTTGTTGAACGAGTTGTTAGCAGAAATGAAGGCCTTACGTGCTGTTGTACTCGCTCAGAGCCAGAGAATCGAGTTACTGGAGAGGCAGCTGGCTCGAATCGAAGATGGGGACGTATGAGTAAGCAGGAACTTCACTACATTAGCAGGGAATTTTTACTAAATTCAAAGGCCATAGCCTTACTAGAATCAAGAGTACTTTAAGCTGTGTGAGTGGGAGAGTGTAGTGTACAGTACAGTAGCAACTAACTGTGAATCACAGTGGCTTACAACCAGGTCAGCTATTTTGATGAAAGCAAGATCACAATTTATTTCATCTTGTGCTTGAGAATGGGGTGTCATCTGCAAAGAGTGAAATATAACAATGCTTGTTTTTTGTTTTTGTTTTTGTTTTTTTTATATAAAGTGGTTTTGTATTGAGCTTTGCAATATCCACAGTCCAACTTTTGAAGGGCTTCAGAGTTACAGTGGCATCATTGCCTCAAGTTAATGCACTAAGTAGGAGCCGACAGCATTATATCAAAGCTAACAGAGGTATAGCAAAGCAATTAAGTACCTCCAATATAATTTTTATTTCCTCTGATGCACTTACAAACCACCAGGGCTGTTTAATCAGGTAGTTTCACCTGCTAAACTGTGACAACATATCTGACCCCCAGTTGTTCCTCACTGTGTGACTTGTGCTTTGTTTTACTAGTTCACTATAGGACGCTGTGTAGGTAAATGGTTGGGACATTTTCTGGTACACAAACCATGACCTTTACAGTGACAACTGAAAGCTGATGGGCATAGCTCAGTATTTGTGTATCGTAACTCTGTGTAGACTTTGCAGTCAATGAAAGGGCAACACTTGTGATTTTGTAGCTCATGTTGTCAGGAGAGAACCATAACTTTGTGGTGTTTTCTGTAACAAAAGGCAAGGTATTCATCCACAGCATCATTAAGCTATAAACGCGGAGAAATCCTTGCCTCTTTCCTGCTTTTGATGTGTGGAAAGGCTGCAGTATCACGAGTTCCTTAAAGAACCAGGATCTCTACGTTGAAGTCATCACTTCAAGGCATTTTTCAGAGCTGTTTGTAAGAGATGTTCACTGAACTCGGAGACAACAATGATGACTTGACACCTACTACAGTGCAGCCTCACTAAAACACACTAGCAGTTCAGCCAGTTGTACACACACAGAAGAAAGAGGAAGTTACAGTGATGCGTTGAACTTTTTCTAGATAGCAGTTGTATTTGTATTGGTGTTCAAAGATGGAAAGCCCTTTTACATTTTTTTCTGTTTAATTTTGTGTTTCTGTCATTACATGTAGCGATGTTCATCTATTACTTCTACATCAGATAGTGTAAACACTGGTACATTCCACATCAAGCATATCCTTTTATTACTTAGGTCATTTATAATTCCTTATGCATTGACCTCTTAACACTAACTGTATAACCAGTAGCAGTTTAAATGAAACTACATCATGAATACTTAATAAATATTCATTTCTCCTTTGTATTAATGGTGTGGCCTTTTATTTACACCAAGAAGCTTGTGCTCAAGTATTTGTGGTTAATCTCTAGATAAAAGTATGAATGAATAGTGTAGTGTGTTGACTGTGTGCCAGATAGTTTCTCCCTGCTTCAATTAAATAGACATGCACACACACAATACAAAGTTCCTTTTAGAAATATGCAACACCCTTGAGATTTCTCACATTTTATATTAGCTTTTCTGGCATTTGTTGTCTGAGTTGACATTCTTCACATTCTGAAGAAGGCTCACATAGAAACCCAGTTAAATTAACTGTAAAAGTGAAACAGGGGTCTCATACATTACAGTCCCTGCCAAGTCAGAAACTTCAATAAAGTGGTGCAGTCTATAGACTTGAGAAAGAATAGAAAGACAAACAGTTTCTGAAGAGCTGAGAGCTTCACTTCAGTACAGCAGCCTTGATTATTTGTTGGATGTACTTAAGTGCTCCAGTATTAAGTGAGTCATGTGACCAAACAACAAAGAGCGACAAAAGAAGGCCCCTTTATGACAGGAACTACAGAGCTTATTTGCTTCAGGTTAGAGATGGCACATTACAGCATCTGGGATCTTAGAAAAGATTAGATTAGATTAGATTCAACTTTATTTTCACTACCCATGTACAATTACAAGGCAACGAAATACAGTTTAGCATCTAACCAGAAGTGCAATAACAGCAGTGCAGATAATTTTTGGTAAACTAATTTACCGATAGATATGCATAATTGATATTTACAGTAAGATATGTTGGGTAATGTACAGTATACAACAGACTATGGATTTAAATTACAAGTAATGGATAAGGTACGTTAAGCTTATAGAACACTAGTGCAATGGGATGAAAAATTAAATGAGATGAAATAGTGCAGAATAAGAAGATAACAGTAAGTTACATGAGTTAACAGTTCAATGGATGAAAACAGTGCAAAGATAAGGATAAATATACAGTATCTGCATATGTACAGTGTGCAAGTGAATAACAGAGCAGTATTCTGTGAGAATAGTATGTGCAAATTAATAAATCACTTCAGTGTTACAGGTAGCTGAAGTGTATTGCATTAGTCCCGGGAGGAAATATAGAGGAAGGCAGTCGGGGTTAACTGGGGACAGAGTTCAGAAAGGAGACAGCTGTGGGGAAGAAGCTGTTCCTGAGTCTACTGGCCTTGGTCTGGAAGTTCCTGAAGTGCCTCCCAGAGGGCAGTAGGTCAAACAGTTTGTGAGAAGGGTGAGAGAATGCTGCGAGCACGTTGGAGTCAGTGCTCGCAGCATGTAAATGTAAATGTAAATGTAAATGTATCCCAAGAGCTTAAATGTATCCACATCTAAGGAAATCCTTAAGGAGAAAAGGCTTCAAAACATTAAAAACCTCAGATTAGTACAGTAGGAGAATCAAGCAATCAGTTATGGAATTACTTCAAATAAAACCCAGAACTCAGATCAGGAGAACTGTGGCCCAGCAACAGCTGATGCAGCTGCTGTTCATCCAAGCACACCAAGCTAGAACCAAACTGCAGATACAACTCAGAGGTATATAGAGGGGTTTTTATGCTTAGTTCAGTGCATAAACAAGAATTAACATTTTGCAAACTTGTGAAGTAGATTCACAAATTCACAGATGACATTTTTATATAAAAACCAAAAATTATGGGAATAAAAAAGTAAAAAAAAAGACTCAAAAGAGAAAAAGATGAGAGATTTAGGACTTTTTTAGAACTCAAAACAAAATAAACATGATTTCTGGTATTTTAAATGGGCTTAAAATCCATAGTCCACCCATAATTTTTACTTTTTAGAATTGTACATCACACACTCATGTTCTTGTACAGTGCAAAATTACTGTACAGATTGCTGTCTGGTGGGTGTCGGGGCTTTGGCTGCAAAAGCAAAAACAGGAAGTGGGCAATTAGTTTCATATTCAGAAGCTGCATGCAGCTTTTGAATTTGATGTTATCGTGTAATGGTTTCAAGTCTTTAGACTATAGTGTATCATTACTTTGTGCTTTGCTTAAATTAAAAACATGCCTGGATCATGGTCTAGTTTTTGTTGTCACTTCAGACTTTTGAGGTATGTTTGTCAAGAATACAGGACTTCATTGAAAATGGTAGAACTGTCAGCTCAGCTGCTGTTTGAGGCAGAAATGACTGCAAGGTTGAAATTTGTCACAAGAACAAAATGCTATATCATGTAGACTTCCAGTAGTATCATTCTAGTCAGTAAAGAGCGCACCGTATAAGCACTTAAATATGCTTAATTTAATGAAAGGGAAGGGGGATACAATTTAAGGGGTCAGTTAAATTTAAAAATTCATGCTATACGTACAACCAAAAAAGATTTTGTATTTCCATAAGTGGGGTAAAACTATGGAATAATTTAAGTGTGGACATAAAAAACAGTAAGAGAATTCATGAGTTTAAACATAAATATAAAGGTATGTGTCAATCAAGATATATGCAAGAACAGGCTTAATGATTAATTAGATGGAACATTGTGGGTGTGGTGTATGAATGTTAACAATATGTAATATTTTTACTTGTGTGATGTAGAAGATAATTATCAAAGTATGTAATTATGTAAGAATGTTAACAATCTGTAATAATTTTTTAGTATATCACTAGCGTGGTGTAGAACAAAATTATCTATGTAGAAATACTGCTTGCAAACCAATGATGGTAAGATGATGTCATGGGGTAGGACTGGATAAGTCTGACTTCTTCCTACTCCATTCAAGCATGTACTAGGTATAAGCAAATTGATAATGCATTTGTG